GGGCACAGCCTGATCCAATCAGATTAACGGAAAAATAACCCAATGATTGTTGATTGGAGAACACAGACTGAAATCTGCTCCATCTGAACTAAACGGATCTTTTCTGCAGGAAAACGGTTGGATTCTCTTCTGCTGCAGAAACGTTTATTGTTTCTGTCAAATAAATGAAAGTTTTTCCATTAAAATGGTTTCAGGTAAAGCGTCTGTTAATAACTAAGAGCACGAGTCGCTCATTAGATGATTGACGCATGAACGGCTGCAGGCCGTCAGGTCAGGAGAAACCGGATCAGACCGGATCACCGGCTGATGTTCTCCATCAGACGGACTGAGCTGCAGACGTTTGAAGGTTTGTAGATCAAACACGTGAACTCTGACCTGCAGCTGGAGGCTTCAGTCGGCCGATCATCAGCCCCACAGTGCAGTAATTGGCTGCTAGGACCAGGAGGCGGGGCTTATTGACCAGAACAGGAAGAGCTTCACTCAGATGGGCCTCCAGCGCTCTGAAACACGGATCCTTCCTGGAAACAGACGGATGGGCGGATCAGCGTCGGGACGCAGCACCAGGAAGCGCCTCGGCCGGCGGCAGGTACCTGACTCTCTCCGGCTCCGTCACTATGAAGTTGAGGAGGGCGGAGCACGCCGTCTCCATGCTGGGGTCTCTGGTCAGCGCCGAGCCACTCCTCCCCCTCATGGAGGTCCAGGTCCGCTTCAGGAAGTCCACCAGCAGCAGCGGGGTGTCCAGGTCCAGCAGAACCTTCCGGGGAGCGTCCTCTGCCGACAGGTGGCACAGAGCAGGAAGGAGGTACCTGCAGAGGGGGCGGAGCCTGTATCAGACCAGGACACAACTGCTCCTGAGCTCCTGGTTAATTCTTTTACCTGAGAGCCTCCTCGCCAGTCCAGACTCCTCCCTCCTCACTGACGGACACCTGGGCCATCCAATCAGAGAGGCCCCGCCCAGAGGGTCCTTCCTGCAGGTGACGGCGAGCGTAATCGACCAGAAACGGCAAGAGCGCGGTGACCTCCTCTTTCAGGCAGGACGTCTCCTCAGCCAGCCACGAGCAGAGAGCGCGGAACGACGCCAACACGAACGGCTCGGAGAAGCGGCTGGGATCCACCTGAGGGAAGACGAGAGGCGTCAGTCTGAGCGCGCCCAGAAGCACCGCCGGCGGACGAGGAGCTGATCCGACCTGCTGCAGGTGGAACATGACGGCGGAGAAGGCCTCCTGCAGAACCCCGAGGACCTGCTGGCTCTGCTGCAGGCTGAGGGAGGAGCCGGGAGGCGGCGCCGCGTCTAAGGAGGTGCAGGCCTGCTCCATGGCGGCCTCCATGATGCGGTAACATCCTGCAGAGAGGAGGAGTCTGGTAAATCACCATGAAGGACAAACCGCTCCCTCTGCAGAACCACGAAGGCCGGAGGGGCGGTTCTGACCCGCTGAGCTTCAGGCGGTCCAATAATATCCGGATCTTCCCAGTAAAACCTACTTCCTCTGGTTCCAGAACCAGTATAACCCAGTAGGATGGAGACTGTACCTGTGAGCGTGTTCTGCAGCTCTGCGCTCAGATCGTTCCCAGGAGGTTCTTCCAAAGCCATCCTGACCTCCACGCAGGCCCGGTTCACCAGCAGGCAGCAGAACTTGGGTGGACCGGCCGACTCCCAGCCGTACAGGTCCAGTAAGCAGGCACCGAGGACCAGAACCGGGCCCATCTGTTTGGGCGTTAACTTGGCCTGCAGCATGGGTCTGAGCGCCGCCCACACGCTGCTCACCGCCTCCTTCAGCTCCTCGCTCTGCGACGCCACGCCTGCGGGGGGCAGGAACGCCACCAGGGAGGAGCACATCTGGAAGCGGCTCAGGTCCGCCGACCGGAGCAAGTCTCTGGAGAGTCGGAGCAGCAGAGAGAGGAGCTCTGCTTGGTGGTTCCTCCAGGCTTTCTCTTTGGCTTTACTGCAGAGCAGGATCCCGAGAAGGGAGAGCGCCCTCTGGTGGGTCGGGGTCCGGTTCTGTTCCACGGCCCGGCACAGAGCAGGGACGGCCCCCCGGTTCAGGAGCTGCTCGGGGCCCCTGGGTAGAGCGCACACAGCCGTCAGAACCTGGAAGCAGTCAGCAGCCACGGCCTGCTCCAGTCTGGAGGCTGCAGACCCGTCTGCATCGCTGCCTTCATCCCCAGCAGAACTCCTCCTCCTCCTCGCCTCATCGGGCCCTTTGGGAAGGTCCTCTGGGCCGACCCCGGCCCGGTTCTGCTGGTGACACACACCCCCCTCGGCCAGGAGGTCAAGCAGCAGGGGGATGGTGGCAAGCAGCTGGGGGTGGGCGGCCATGACGGGGTCTGCGCTCAGGGCGGCGAGCAGAGCCGCGCCCAGAGACAGCAGCTCCTGGGGGGGCAGAGCCGATCCGTCGGCCCCCCGAACGGCCGTCACCAGGAGCCGGGCCGGCAGGTTTAGGCCCACCGCGTCAAAGATGCGCCGTACGGTGGATTTATCCAGCTGGTTGGCCGGGCACAGGCGGGTCATCTGCAGAGAGAACAGAGTCAGAACAGAACCCACCGCTCCAGGTCCAGTTAGCACCGTACAGGACATGGATGGAGTCAGAACCGGACTACCAACATGGACCTGGAGGCAGAACTCTGCCTCTTTGAAGAACCCCAAGACCTGATTACAGCCGGGCGTACAATCTGCCATTTCTTCATGGGTTGCAGCTCATGATGTCTGTGCGACCCGACGCTCTGATGCGATCTACCTGCTCACTCTGTACGTCTAAACACCAGGTGGGACTCAGCTCCGCAGTGAGATGGCGCTACTGGGACTCGTCTATCTGAAGCCAAACCAGTAGCAGAGGAACATGAAGCTCACTAGAGTGAAACGCGCTGCCTTGGATATTAGAGCAGTTTGTGCTGAAAGCCCTAAAAAGAAAAGGAGACGACGTATTTGGACAAAGACATGGCTGAGCTAACGTGGCTACTACGGTCTGTCAGTTTGACAGAAAGAACTCCATTTCACTCATTGCCCCCCCCGCCATGCTGCTGGGTTTACGTCTGAGAGGAAGAAGAAGAAGAAGAATCCTTGTTTTCCCACTGAGTGATTTGTCCACCACCGCCTTACGACGGCCGACTTTAGTTCAAACATGTATGATTTTCTCTCAACCCTAATATTCCTGATGGGGGGGCGGTCGTTAGAGGCTGATTGCCCCCCCTTAACCCCTGGTCACCACGCACCATCAGGCTGGAAGTCGGCCTGTAAAGGGCACAGTGTACGCCTGGCTTAATGGAACACAGATCTAACCATCACAGAATCTTGCTTCAATTTAAAGGTACACTATGCAACCGGTGTTGATTTTCCAGTGAGGCTCCCTCCAGAGGGCGAAAGTAAAAGTGCACTGTCGTAAATATGCTCAGCTGTTCTCCTGGTTTCTCCGTCAAGCCAGGCGCGGTTGTTTTGAGCTTAGCAGCGAATGACTAACGCTGCGTTCACACTGGATGTAGCTGGCGCGACAGAATGTTTACATGCAAAGTCAATGG